GCGCGCGCGCGCGTGTGTGTGTGTGTGTGTGTGAGTGTGTGTGTGTACTCACGCGTGTGTGTATTTGCACACGTGTGTGTGTGCGTGCGTGTGTGTGTGTGTGTTCACATGCGTGTGTGGGTTCGCACGCGTGTGTGTAATCGCATGCGTGCGTGTGTTCGCACGTGTGTGTGCGTGCGTGTGTGGGTGTGTATGTGTGTGTGTTCGCATGCGTGTGTGTAATCGCATGCGTGCGTGTGTTGTCACGTGTGTGTGTGTGTGTGTGTGTGCGTGCGTGCGTGTGTGCACGCGCGTGTGTGTGCGCGCTGGTGTGTGTGTGTGGGCGTACGTGTGTGCGTGTGTGTGTGTGCGTGCATGTGTGCGTGCATGTGTGCTTGCGTGTGTGCTTGCGTGTGTGCTTGCGTGTGTGCTTGCGTGTGTGCTTGTGTGTATGTGTGCATGTGTGCACGCATGCACACGACGTACCAAGGTGGACCACCAAATGGCCAGCGGCATGACACAGCTGCGCAGGAGATAAAACACAGCAGTGCACCCCTGTGCCCCTGCCAACCAGTCAGGCTATGTCCCCTGAACCTCTGGCAAGGCCTTGACATGTGGGCATCACCTTCAAAGGGCCGGCCGGCCGTGAAGAGCTCCCACAGCAGCACCCCAAAGCTGTACACGTCACCAGCCTTACTCATCCGCCCCTGGATGTGGGTCTCCGGTGCCATGTGGCTGGGGGTGCCCTGCGGGTGACGCGCATGGTTGAGATGAGTTCGAGCGGGTGCTGAGGTGGGTCAGCCTGGGGACTCGAGCCCAGGCGTTCCAGGTTATCGCTGGGAGGGCGGCTGACCGACCGACCAACTGTGCCTAAGAGAACAGCCCCTCAAAGAGAACAGGGTGTCTTTTGAGCTGCAGGGTCCGCGATGCCCCAGCCGGCCTGCTGACCCGCAGGTGTGTCGACCCTGCCGGCTGGTGTGCGATGGCGTTCCCCTGCCTTGCTGCCTGCCATCCACCCTTTCATGCCATTGCCCCGGCTGTCCAGTCAGGACGGCGGTGACGCGGGCGCCCCTGCGACACCGCAGGTGACACGGGCGCCCCTGCGACAACGCAGGTGACGCGGGCGCCCCTGCGACACACACACAAACACACACACACACACACATGCACGCACACACAGGCACACACACACAGTCACCTGGTAGGCGGAGACGTGTGTGTCCTGGCCTGTCATGGGGAGAGCCAGCCCAAAGTCCGCCACCTTGGCGATGGCTCCGCTGCCGCGCTTGCTGTCCCCCTTGAGCAGCACGTTGCGCGCCTGTGGTGGGTTCGAAAGTCCAGGGCTTGGGGCTTCAAATGAGTGTGCGCCTGTGACGGAGGCCTGAGTAAGAGACTCATGAGGCACCGGCTGCCCAGGGGATCTGGCAGAGCGGGACCGCCCCCTGCAGGAGGGCAGGCAGGCAAGGCGATGCCGCATAGAAGCCGCACGAGCGGGCTCATGAGCGGCGGCGTGGCGGGAGTTTTAAGCGCCGGCTGGCGGCTTCACCTTGAGGTCTGAATGCAGGACCTGGGTGGATTGGGGCGAGAGGGGGTGGCGGCTGGGTGCAGGCGAACGCTGGGCTGAAAGCTGGGGCTATAATGGGCGGCCGGCAGGATGATGGTGGGGCGGGCAGGTGGCATCAAGCTGACGAGCCCGTGTCAGAATTCTCCAGTGCCTGCTGCGCTGTCCCACCCCTAGTACACCCACGCGCCCATGCACGCTCACGCGTACATACCAGGCTGTGCCCAGCACGGCATGCGACGCGCACGCACCTGTTGGTTGTGCAGGTGCAGCATCGCGCGTGCCACGTCAGCGGCCGTGTCCAGCACCGCCAGGTAGTTGAGGTCGCCCCCGCCTGTTGATGTGGAGGGGTGTGGGCGGCCAGGCGGAGGGATGTAGTGCAACACAAAGGGGAGGGAAAGGGCGAGTGGTCTGCAGCGTGGCATTGCAGTTGCCAGGGCGTCACGGCGGCTGGAGTGCAGCTGGAAGGTGCCCGTGTCGCCTCCGGTTCGCAGCTGTGAGCGCCCTTAGCTGGCGGGGATTGGCGCCCAGGCGCCTCTGCACGCACCCGTGCGTCTGTGTGTGCTGACATCACAACGCCCCGTCGTCGTCCCCCCCCCCCCCCCCC